AAACCAAAAACTAGAACATAAGGGCTCTAACCTGATCAGTAGACTAACCCACTCCATGCATTTATGGATTCTTAATTTGATGACACTACTGAGAAGTGGAAAATAGAAAGTAGAGTCAGGTTGGAGGAAGTACTAGTGCCTACGGCTGGCTCTATTTCCCTGTGCTCCAGGTCTCCTCCACCAAGCTCTGCCTCACCACAGACCCACAGCAACCAAATTCCTAAGTCTAACCCTGTTCTTTTGTCTCAGGCTTTGTCACAGGATCAGCTGAATTCATTTACCTTGGCTTCTCTGTATTCTAGATCACATATTCTTAGACAATAGGATACCTACTCTTAATCCCATTGGCAGCAGCAATCTTATTCTTGTTCATAGCTGTGTATGAAGTAATGATTGGGAGGTGGCTATAGGATCACTGCCATACCACTATACCACATTAGTAATGTTTGTTCTTGTGGGCAAAGTGCAACAAAGAAAAAGCAATGGAAACCAAACTGAAAAGGAGTATTGCAAAATTACCTCCTCAGTTTAATTAGAACAAAGCTCAAAATTAACTTCTGGCCATTTGCCACTTTTTTTTTTTTTGGTCCATTGTGGGGCTTGAACTCTGGGCCTAGGCCCTGTCCCTACACACTTCAGCTCAAGGTGAGTGCTCTACCACTGGAACCACAGCACCACTTCCAGTTTTCTGGTGGTTTATTGCAGTTAAGAGTCTCATGTACTTTCCTGCCTACAATCCTCAGATCTCAGCCTCCTGAGTAGCTAGAATTACAGGCGTAAGACACCAGCACCTGGCAACCATTTGCTTTTATATTATCCAAAGATGCAGAATGAAAATTTTGAGCAGGAAGCTGGGCATGTGGCTTAATGGTAAAGTGCTTGTCTAGCATGCATGAAGCCCTCGGTTTGATCCCTCACTACCACTTAAACAGAGAAAAAACTGGAAGTAGCCCTGTGGCTCAAGTGGTAGAGCATAAGCCTTGAGCAAAAGCTACTCAGGGACAGTGCCCAGGCCCTGAGTTTAAGCCCCAGGACCAAAAAAAAAAATCTGAACAGGTACTGCTGCAGTCCTCTTACAGACTCCATCAGGAATACATCTTCACATCCATGTTTACCTTACAAATGCTTCCTTCAGGAAATAAAGTTGTGGCTCAAGTGGCAGAGCACTAGCTTTTAAAGAAAAAAAAAAAGCACAGGAACAGCACTCAGGCCTGAGTTCAAGGCCTAGGACACACACACACACACACACCCTAACAAATCTCCACACACACACACACACACACCCTAACAAATCTCCACACACACACACACACACCCTAACAAATCTCCACACACACACACACCCTAACAAATCTCCACACACACACACACACACACCCTAACAAATCTCCACACACACACACACACACACACACACACACACACACACACACACACACACACACACACACACACACACACACACACACACACCCTAACAAATCTCCTCAGAGCCACGACGAAATTACTTGTGCTATGTTGTCTTCTGAAAATGAGTACCAGACTAGTGTACAGGGTGTGACTTGTGCCTGATGTTAAAACTATATATTTACACTTCAGACTTATTCTACATTCTATCTCCTTTGTTTTCTTATATGTCTCCTATCTTTAGTTTACTGCTTAAAAAAAAAAGTAACTTACAAATTATCTCAAGCGTTTCTCAAAAGCTAGACTGTCACTTATTTGTTTACCAAACAGAATAAGCTATTTTGTTTATGAAAAGGACTTAAGAAAACCACCAAATAGTGAGTTATTGTGAGTACAGAAACTGAGTTTCTTGGAAGCTTTTGGTATCATTTAGCCTTTATTGTTCACCTAAGGAGACATAAATAGTGTGGCTTGTCTCAGGTATGCAGGTGGCTGAGATAGGACGATCACTTGAGTGAAAGAATTTAAGGCCAGCCAGACAACACAGTAGAGCATCACCAAAAAGAAAGAAGAAAACTAAAGTAAAATCTTGACCTGTTTGTTTTTCTGACATGGAAATTACCACGTTCTTAAACATGGGTAGATGTCATGGTTATCATTTTATCTACCTTGACTCTCCTCTCTCCTCCTCTTACAACTATGTGGGGTTCTGGGAACGTATCTCAGTGGTAGACTGCTTGACCAGCATGTGCAAGGTTCTTGATTCAATCCCTACCACTGAAAAGGAGGGGCAAAGATTTTGTGAGAAAAAAAAATGGAAATACAGTGATTGCCTAGTTGTCATTAATAAATAACCCTTCCTTGTGGATAATCTTAAGTATTACATAAACTGGGTGCCAGTGGTTTACACCTCTAATCCTAGCTACACAGGAGGTTGAGATCTAAGGATCACAGTTTGAAGCCAATCTGGGTTGGAAAGTCTATCAGACTTTTATCTCCAATTAACCACCAGAAAAGGAACTGTGGCTTAAGTGGTAGAGTGCTAGTGTTAAGTGAAAAAACCCTCAAGAACAGTGCCCAGACCCTGGGCTTAAGCTCTCTCTCTCTCCTGGGCTTAAGCTCTCTCTCTCTCTCTCACACACACACACACACACACACACACACACACACAAAGAAAAAGAAAAAACTTATGATAGGCTTGTGGAAGACAAGTTACCTCAGAAATGTTTTATGTGGGTTTTGTTAAACTTGGTGGATAGGAAGATGTAACTGGCCTTTTATGCTTTAATAGGACCACTTTTTATTACTCTCCACTAAAGTAGGTGGTTCTAAATTGCTCATCTGCTGTTCTGGTACTTGTCTCAAGCCAAGTGAGTTTATGTTGTGACTCACAACTTCTATGAAGACACTTTAACTTGTACAAATTTACCCAGAGACTACTACTGCTCTGTAATCTGTACTCTCTTTTCTTCTCTCCAGTTCTAAGGCTTGAACTCAGGGACTGGGCAGTCCCTAAGCTTCTTTTGCTCAAGGCTAGCAGTCTAACACTTGAGCCACAGCGCCACTCCCAGCTTTTTCTTGTATGTGGTACTGAGGAATCAGATCCAAGGCTTCAATGCATCACTAAGCCACATTCTCAGCTCTTGCCCCATAATCTGTATAAGCTCCAGATAACTTGTCACAATAAACAAAGAACATTCTTTTTCATGTTTTCTCCTCCTCAAGGTGCATATTCTTGCCGGGTGCCTGTGACTCACACCTATAATCCTAGCTACTCAGGAAGCTGAGATCTGAGAATCGTGGTTCAAAGCCAGCCCAGGCAGGAAAGTCCGTGAAACTCTTATCTGCAATAAACCACCAGAAAAAAGCCAGAAGTGGTGCTGTAGCTCAAGTGGTAGAGTGCTAACCTTGAGCTGAAGAGCTGAGGGACAGCTACCAGGCCCAGAGTTCAGCCCCATGACAGACCAAATTAAAAAACAAAACAAAAAAAACATATTCTTAAATAAGAAAAACAATCTGGACAAATCCATGAAAAAGTTATTACGCTTAAAATTGTAACAATAGCTTGTGGCTCACACCTGTAATCCTAACTACTCATGATCTATGGATCATGGTAGTAAGCCAACCTGGGCAGGAAAGTCCATGAGACTCTTATCTCCAATAAACTCAAGAAAAGGCCAGAAATGGCATCATGGCTCAAATTGTAGAGTGCTAGCCTTTAGCCAAAGAAGCTCAAGGAGAGCACCCAAGTCCTGAGTTCAAGCCCTAGGACTGGCACACCAAAAAAAGGATTCCTTCTGCATAAATTTTTTAAATAGTATTTTTTCTGAAGCATCTTTTAAGTAATTCTTACTTTTCTAATAATGGTTTAAACTTTACACGTTATTCATTTAAAACACTATTCAACATAATGCACTGTTGTGATAATCAAATGTATAGATGTTTCCTGTTGGATAGCAATAAACATTTACTAACTTGAAAGAACAAAAAAAGAAGAAAGGTATTTGCAACTGGTTGGCTTTAATAAGCAACTCCCACTTTTCATTTACTTCTTCCAGGTCTTTACTTCATCATCAAAAACAAAATGAGCTACTTTAAAAACTCACTGTCTGGGGTAGAAATATTATTTGTCCTATTTTCTTTTTCCCATTAGAAGTGGCTCCCCAAAGCCCCCAAAATAAGAAAGACAAATACAAACAAATCATGCATTCAATTCAGGCATAACATCTTAACATTTAATAGAAACTATATACAATAATTTCTTACTATATTTTACATAGGATAGCCACACAGCAATTTACCTAAGTTAAAAGATGGTTTACGCCTATGGGCTTTTCTCATAAAGCCGGCGTATACTTGGGAAAGGGGTTCTTCTAATGGCACAGTTAAATGAAGGTGAGGAAAGGCTGAAGTACAGGCCTTTAGGTAAGAGATAACCAGACATGTGGGGCCCCCAGATTCTCAAGGGAACTGTTCATAAACACCTTACCCAACCTAACCACCTACGTGAACTCCTGCTCCCAACAGGAAACCCCTTTACAAAGATGTTTTTTCCTGAAGCATAGTCCCAAATATTCACTCAACACCAGAGGCAGGCATTAATAACTCTCTTTCTTATGAAGAAACTTGTAACTTTTTAAATACTATTGGTCCATTCTCCCAAATCTGGTTTCATGTTTAGTTATTGTACTACGACCACTAGAAAAACAATGTGGTCTGCGTTTAGTGAGAGGTGAATAGTACTTATTAGAAGAATGGGAAATTCAATCCACCAAAGTCAAATGGCTCCCAGAACAAACTGTCAATTGTCAAGTGGGTTCTGGTTTCCCATTTGCAGTAGCCAATCCACTTTGAGGCAGCAGCGCACAAGCTTTCTCAGAATTTCGAGATCCCTGGGATCTGCAACCATCTCCAGCCACTGGCATTTGGCCCTATTAAACAACAAAGTTTTGTTAGAAATTAATTCATTGTGGTCTGAGGCATGGATCTGACTCATCAGTGCCCAGTTCTAACAAGACTGCTTTTCCCAAGACTTAACTACCCCAGAATCAGAAGTCATTTCTGAATCACTCCTAGTAGGAAAGGGAATTGTGGACTGTTTCTTCCAAATCAAATAGCCATTCTCCACTGAGGTTCCAGAATAGCCAACAAACCACTGGAAGACAATCCTTTAGGCCTCTGCTTGAAACCAACAGCTATAACTGACTGCTGGTCTTCAGTCAGGGCCATTAGTAGCCTATCCTCTGAGTAGGGCAACCAACATCTATGGTGAAAATAATTCAATGATGAACTCTCTCTTATGAGGTATAATTCAGAAAACAGACTCCTGGTCTCCACCTTTAATTTAAATAAATTTATGTCCTATTCTAACTCTCCAGATGGGCCCACATATAGGAGGGAAGTCTAGCTGGGTTCTATACTTGCCAAAATATCCACCGAGCCTTCAGCAATTTCTTTGATTGAATGATCTTCCAGGGTTAATGAAGGGTCAAAAAGCAAAGGTGATGGAGGACACTGCATACCATCCCCCACAACATCCAAATCCTAGGAAGGAAAGAGGAAAGCCTGCCATTAGCAACATGAAGAAAGCCAATAAGCTAAAGGTAAAACATTCTTCAGCAACCACAGGCCACTCTCATTCCCTCCTCCTTTACCCTTGGCCTACCAAACTCTTCAACAAATGACAAGATCCAAAACACTGAAAATTTTGTCTAATTACAAAGAACAATGAATTTTTTTTTTAATCGGTTGTGGGGGCTGAACTCTGGGCCTGGGCACTGCCCCTCCATTCTTCAGCTCAAGGCTAGCACCTTACCACTGGAGCCACAGCACCACTTCTGGCTTTTTTCTGCTTATGTGGTGCTAAAGAATGGAACCCAGGGCCTCATGCATGCGAGGCAAGCACTCTACCACTGAGCCACCTTCCCAGCCCCAAACACTGAATATTCTTTTTGTCATTTTTTTTATTGTGAAAATACTGTACAGAGGGGTTACAATTACATGGGCAAGATAATGAGTACATTTCTTATCAAACATTGTAGCCTCCTCCTTTGTTTCCCCTTCCCATCCATTCCCATCCTCCCTCCACCCCCCAACACTGAATATTTTTAATACCAAGGAACTGTCCAGTTAAAAATAGTAAATTCTGTTGCGTATATTTTACAGCAATAAACCATTTTTTAAAAAAAAATTCCCTCTGAGGCTAATTGTAGTCAACCTCTAAGTTTATTCATGATAAATCTATTAAGGATACTTAATATAACTGACGTGTTAATTTCATTAAATGAAACAGCAATGAGACCATTCAAAATCAATATCCAAGCAACCACAAAGCTAATGAGTAAGAGCAAAGAGTGAGCGAGGGGGAAGAAAAAACTAGCTGTACTGTTTTGGTTAAGTCTCTTTCCCCACAGAATAAAATCTCTGGTTCTTAAACATAACATTTCAACTGTTCTATCTAAAAGGGGGAGGGGAGAAGATATTATATATTCCACACTATGTTTCTTCCCTACAAATGGGCCATTCTCACTGCAACAATGAATAGCCCACAGACCAAAGAAAGATATTACTCTAGGCTCCTGTTTGAAACCAGTAGCTACAGCAAGCACTGGTCTTGATTCAGGGCCTAAGAAAGTGCAAAGGCTCAAACAATAGAACCTAATTTTCACACCATTGCTAAATGTAGTGTTAAACTTTCCTAACCAAAAAATGTTTTTGACTCTCTTGTGCAAAATCTACTTTATTAAAACTATATTTCTAATCATTTAACTTCATGAGCTTAGTTTATGCTTTTGTAGTCCTGATTAAAGCTTGAAATAAATGTAATTAAAAACATATATTGGCAGCTCATGCTTGTAAACCCCAGCTACCAAGGGGGCTGAGAGCCAGAGAATTCAAGCCTGAAGCCAACAAAGGCAGAAAATTCCTTTAGACTTCATCTCCAAAATAAACAACAAAAAAACAAGCTAGAGGCATGGCACAAATAGTACAATGTAAGTTAAGCAAACACGCTGAACAAGCAAAAGCACTTAAAATCCTAATACCAGCACCTCCCCCCCAGAAAAAATTAAAATAGTTTGAATGCAGTGGCATATACTTCAAATCCAAGCACTTGGAATAAAATACTTAATTCTGCCAATTGAAGTATTTTTTAAAGTCAGTAAAGACCAGGTGTGGTGGTACATCTGTAATCCCAGCTACTCAAGAGCTAAAGCAACAGGTTTGAGTTCAAGGCAAGCCCTGGCACAATTAGTAAATGAACAAAAACAGAATTTAAGATTCTCAAAAAACAATAAAAAGCCAAAAGCTACTTCTCATATATTCTTTGAAAAATCTATGCCACAAGGTTACAATATGTTCGTGACTTTAAGTATCACTATTCCACAATACTGTGAAATTTATGTAATCACCTAATCCCAATCTAAAATAAAAGTGAGAGAAGGGATGGGTTAGGAGCAATAAGTGACAATGTTGTTGGACACCTTGTATTCATATACTGATTTGTAGAATGGGAACTTCTTTGTACAACTCTATGTTTAAAAAAAAAAGAAAAATCTGCCGGGCGCCGGTGGCTCACGCCTGTAATCCTAGCTACTCAGGAGACTGAGATCTGAGGATCGCGGTTCAAAGCCAGCCCGGGCAGGAGAGACCGTGAGACTCCTATCTCCAATAAACCACCAGAAAATCGGAAGTGGCGCTGTAGCTCAAGTGGTAGAGCGCTCGCCTTGAGCTGAAGAGCTGAGGGACAGCGCCCAGGCCCAAAGTTCAAGCCCCACGACCAACCAAAAAAAAAAAAAAAAAAGAAAGAAAGAAAAATCTATACCACAAGTAGGGCTTACCCAAGTAAGGGGACTTTTAAGGGATAAGTTTGTTGTTTTAGTCATTTCACAAAAGAAAATGTAATATATCAAAAACTGTAATAATACTCCATCAAATTTAGTCTTTTTGCAGGCCAGATTAATCTGAAAATAGCTTTACTACAGGACCAACACATAAATTTAAATATCAAAAGTTGACTTCTACAGGACTTCAAATTCATTCAAAAAATAACTCGCTCCTAAATACAAACAAATGAAAATGGAAAATTGGAAATATGTCTACTTAAGACTTTGTACATAAATGTCCCTCATGGTATATTCTATTTAAATGCCACAAATAGAAACTTATTTCTATGAAAAATCCAGAAGCCCCAGGCAGAGCAGGATGCTCACTCACCTTAAACATAGCTGATTTGCAAAAGCTAATCAAGTTGCCATTTTTACAGTCCTCATTTTGTTTTATAAAATACAAATTCTTGGGCTGGGAAGGTGGCTCAGTGGTAGAGCACTTGCCTTGCATGTATGAGGCCCTGGGTTCAATTCCTCAACACCACATAAGCAGAAAAAAAAAAAAGCCAGAAGTGGCGAGGTGGCTCAAGTGATAGAGTGCTAGCCTTGAGCTGAAGAGCTGAGGGACAGCACCTAGGCCCAGAGTTCAGGTCCCTCCCACGACCGGACCAAATAAATAAATAAAATACAAATTCTTGGGGGTAACAATGCTCGATAGGAAATGTACTCTTTACACCTTACTCATGTAACTGTAACCCCGCTGTACAGTATCTTTACAATAAAAAAAATTTTAATAAAAAAATACTAATTTTTATTTTAATAAACCAAATTTTTTATTTGTTGACTTTTCATTGAAACCAAGTGTTGAAACAAATGGTCATCCATTTTGCAAAAATATGAACCGGAACCTACACCCTCCTATACTGCATATAGCCTAAAAGTACCATAGATCTAAATACAAATATTGCAGAAGTTTAAGACCAAAAAAAAAAAATCTGTGACCTTAAATCAGACAAAACTTAGATATAACACCAAAAAAAGTTATATGTGAAATGAAAAATTCATAAATTTGACTTCTTTAAAATTGAAATTTTCACTTGGTGCCAGTGGCTCACACCTGTAATCCTAGCTACTCAGGAGGCTGAGATCTGAGGACCACAGTTCAAAGCCAGCTGGGGCAGGAACGTCTATGAGATGCTTATCTCCAGTTAAACACCAGAAAATCAGAAGTGGCGCTATGGCTCAAGTGGTAGAGTGCTAGCCTTGAGCTGAACAGCTGAGGGACAGACCCCAAGCCCTGAGTTCAAGTCCCATAACTGACAAATAAATAAATAAAATTTTCAACTCTTGTCAAAGTGAAAGACAAACAGACTAGAAAAAAAAGCAGTTGTAAAGACATGTATCTAGTAAGACTAGTATTTAGAATAAACTCTGAAGCAAAATGTCTCAACTAAAAACGGAAATGTGCTGGGTAGTAAATTTATAGACAAAAAGTACATCCATGGTTGACAGGAAAGGGCCAAGGAAGACATATTGTTAATAGGTATTGAGTTTCTTTTTGGTGTAAACATTCTGAAAGTAGATAATGATGATGGTTGCGCCAAGTGCGAATATTGTATACTAAATTAAAAAAAAAAAATCAAATCTGTAGTGTTTCCAGTTATTTATAATGTGAATTTATACACAAAGTAAGAAATGAGGCTAGGCATGCTGGCACATGCCTGTAGTCCCAGCACTCAGGAAGGTAGGGCAGAAGGATCCCCAGTTCCAAGGCTAGCCTTTGGCTGCTCAGTAAAATAGTGTCAGGAAATTTAACACAAGAAAATAAGCCAAAGAAGAAAAAATAAGTTAGAGCAGAAAATCCAAAGGAATATGCTAACATACAAATAAAGCAATACATTTGTCACTTCAAAACTCCTATCAATTCTCTTGAACACAGGAGGACTAATTAGTCTCACCATTAAACACAGCCTTGCCTCAAGGGCCAATCAAAGCAGAGCTTCTCTAACTTACGTCACTGAACTCCAGTGGTAAACTCTCAGTGGGCTGAAGCTCAGCAGCACTCAAGTACAGATCCATGGGGCCGGCTTCCAGATCGTGTGGCACAGACAGTACCTGCTGGGGCTTATACATCTGAGGAGGCAACTGGAAATGCAGTGGACAGCAGGGATCCTCAGAGAGGCTTACAGGAACTGGTTTGTTGCAAGGCACCTCTTCAGATCCCTGGCAGCATTTGAAGAGAACCTGGTTTGTGTCCTGACAAATATCTGTAGAAAAAATGTCAAGGGAAATAAAAACAGGATCTATTGGAGGTACAAAATACAATAGTGCTGTCCACCATGTAAAACTCAAAGTGTGGATATTACACATCATTGTAACTACACATGATATGGGAAAACAAAC